TTTGAAGTTTCCAACTAAGTTTTGCCTCGAGATTCGTGCTCGATCAAGATGATTTTGCGATGCCGTATCAATATTCATTGAAAAATAAAGCAAAAGATAAATATCATAAAATTTTTGTACCAAAATTATGTTTTAAGAAGCAATTAAAAAGTCATTCCAAACGAAGCGGTAATCACAATTTTATATATTTATTTGTAGATTACCTTAAGGGTTTTTCAAGCATTTGCGGTTGTTCTTGACAAGCATTGAGCTCACGCTGGAGTTCCTGAAAATATAGGAAATAATATTGAAATAAATATTATAGGAAATACATTTTATATTATTTTATTTCATTAGGGTTGTCATTAATATTGGGTTACATGTCAGGTTCGGATCCAACACGAAACTGACTCGGCACCATACAGGTCAACCTGAATACGACCCATTTTTTGAAACAGGTCATTATTCCGGACTCGAACCTGACCCGCTTCCGGTCCGAATCAATCCAACCCAACACGATCCGTATGACTCGCAAACCATTGAAATCTGATTTTTCTTTTTTGGGAAAGAAATATGATTTTTAATGCATCAATTCTAACTGACATACGTACCTCCACTTTGAAGTTTTTGCTCAGCATCTCCGGGCTGAATTAGGCCGTACATATGAAGTAAAATGAAAAAAAAAAAGTTAATATGATAGAATTGTAAAAATTAATGACTAAATAAAACTTACTTGGCTTGGTGGGCAGCCATGTCATCCTCATATTTTGAGTTTGATAAGAGTCCTCATCAAGTACTGCAAATATCCATTAAAAAATAATTACGAGAAACATACAAATTTAGTTCCTAATTTGTTTATAAATGAATAAAAATGATTAATGAGAAATTCAAAATTGATGCCAACTTACATCTTTGTCCATCTTGTCCAGCTTAGCCCTGCTTCAACATTAAGAAATTAAAAGGGAATTCGTGTTAATTAATAATTAATTATGATTAAAAAAATTAATGCAGATAATAACATTTAATTAAATGGCATACCCTCCTTTGTCATGCTCTCGCATATTAATGCACTTTTCAATCACATCTTCAATCCTGCAATATTAAAAAATAATAATAAAGTTATTTAAATTACAAAATATCATTTATTTTTGAAAAAAGAAAAATAAATAGGGTTCAATTTACCTCCGGCGACCGGAGAAGGAGCTGAGCCTGCCAGAAGGAGAGAACATGATGAGCGCGATATCTATATCGCAGAGAACGGAGAGCTCGTAAGCCTTCTTGATGAGGCCATTGCGTCGCTTCGAAAACGTCACTTGCCTATTTATATTGTTCTCAATTTTCTTTATTTCCAGCTTCACCCTACCCATTTATATATATCTTTCTATAAAAAAGGAAAATCTAATTTTTGGATAATAGATATCGCTTTTATGAGAAGAGCTGTCAAGATTAGAAATATTTCTATCAAAAGAAAAGAGAAAATAGTAAGAAAGTGTGATAGGGTAAAATCAGTGGGAAAGAAGCTTTGGAATTTATAGGAGAGAGAGCTCTAAAATGAAAGAGATGAAGTTGGCGCAATGTAGGAGAGGTTTAGAGCCAATGGCAAAAGTAAGCCAACGTTTTTTGTTTTTTGTTTTTTGTTTTATTTTCCAACAACTAAACTAATGTAGGGGCTGTTTGATATGCAGAAAATTAGGAGAGCATGTATTTTATAAATTATATGGTTTGGTTAATTTTAAGCGGAGCATAATTAATTCCTCGCTATAAACCCGCTGAAATTGAGTGGGGTTTAGAAATCCTGGCGCGAAATAAAATAATGAGAAGAACGCAAAGCGCGGAGCGTGGGAAGAAAGGAGAAGAAGGGAGAGCATGTTGGCGAAACCATCGTGCCAGGCTGAACCCCTGCCTCGTCGCCTCCATTCACGGCAGCCAGGAATCGAAGCCTAAACCCTAAATCCTTGGCAAAATCGGCCTCCCCGTCTTCTGCGCCATTCCTTTGGCATCTACCATAGCAACAAAAGAGTTGGCGGGGTTATGGAAGTGCGATCGATGTCCTCTTCTTCTGCTCCCTCTTCGTTGTCCTCCTTCGGGGCGCGGCGATTGGGATAGTTGGAGTGGAGATAACGACTGGGGAGGTCATTCCTGGTACGTTCTATGACAATGTTATGAGATCGGGGCTCGAAGCCGTGGTTTTGAGCTTATCTCCAGCAGAAATCCTTCTAGGGGATCCTCTTTCTGCATCTACGGAGAAGGTATTCAATGGTTCATGACTCGTTAGTTTTGTGTTGTTATTACATGTACTGAAAAAGAGTAGCTATTGTTATGAATGATGTTCGAGCCCTCTACTTAGCAACGATATGGGAAAACTTAGCCGGAAGCTATGTGTGTCATCATTACCATTTGGTGCGGCCATGTGTGTGATGGGTTGAAAAGGTAAGCAGTTTTAAGGGTCTCAACTCTGGATTATCACTATTATTTTTGTTGAAAATTAATCTGCCCAAGTGTCTCAATTAGTTTATACAAGACCGCTACGTACCAGGAGGATATTAAATTTTTAACTGAAGAAGAAATGAGTATAACTGGACAATGTTATCCTGTTCTGCAATCAAAAGGGTAAATAACTTAGTTACTAGATCCGTAGTTCAGGTAAAGTGATGTAGGTAATCTGCAGAGGAATTTGAGAAAAACAATGCAACGAATAGAACAATAAATCTGTAATACAGAGAATGGTTAAACCAAAGTAGTATATTGTATTCTGCTCTATTCTTCTTCACTTTCACCTATATAACAACTTCTGTATCCACCTACTAGAAAAGGATCGACAAAGCTAATAAAAGTTGATAATAAGCTATAAGTAACAGAAAAGGTAAGAACGGTAGTGGGAAGCAAACTAATAAGCATATACTGAGCATAAGCAAACGGAAAGGTGCAACCGTGGGTAAGATGTCCTCCAGGTGTACCCGTAAGTAATGTGAGTCCTCGTCATAAAGCTTATAAAGACTTGTTCTGTGCTTTGACTTAGA